TATAAACCTCTAATATTAATTTAAAACCGTGTAAACATATTTTATATTACAGTATCGTCCACAATTATTTTCGTCGCGTCCATAATTATTTTCGTCGCGTCCACAATTATTTTCGTCGCGTCCACAATTATTTTCGTTTGTCCATAATTATTTTTAAATCAAAACACTTTATTTTTTAAAATTTTTGAAATCAAGAAAAAAATCCAAGTATAATTTAATCAAATAAATTCATTACGTTGAATTCCTTTTAACATTCACTCACGCATGTGAGAATAATAATTCTCAAAAGAATATTTGGTAAAACCTGATAAAATCTCAGTAATAATTCTAATCATTTCTTGTGAATTGTTAGGCCCCGGTTGTATTCCTTTAAATAAATTTTTAACGACGCCAAAAAACTCCTCGATAGGATTAAGTGGAGGACTGTAAGGTGGTAAAAACTGGATAGTACAATTACTTTCTCGAAATGCCGATTCTACTATTGATGAATGGTGGAATCGCGCATTATCTATTACTACAACATATCTGCGATCACTTAAAACTGGTCTTAAATCTTGTTCTATCCAGTCCTGCATGCTAGTGGTATTAAAGGCTCCAATCTTTAGTTTAAATTCAATACACCCTGTAACTAAAATAGCGCATATTAGGCTAACATTTCTTCCTCTCTGTGTGGGCACTGTAACAAACGGTGTGCTTCTTAATAATGCATATCCATAATGTCGTGAATCATGCTGATTGAACCCGGTTTCATCAATATAGACCAGATCTGAATTTCGCAGAAAAGAAACATGATTGCAAAACATAAACCTCGTTGCTATTACTTGAGCTGAATTTCTTGCAACAACGATCGATTTAAGCCTTTTACAGGTATATCCCATTTGTTTTAATTTTCTTTTGATTGTAGTTGTCGAGCTTTTATGTTCTTCTGGCATTAACTCTGCAATGTCAATAGTAGTTAATGCATTATTTGCATTAATTAATAACTCGATTTCTTTCTTTCTTTCAATATTATTTAGTGCAGCTCTGCCACGTTTTTTTGGTATTATATTTTGGTCTGCTTCAAGCTTTTGTATCCAGTTTTGTTTTGTCCTAATTGAAAGACCTGTTGCATTTGCAATAGATTGACTTGATTCGTTGCCAATCAACATTCTTTTTATTGTAGCAATATTTTCTTCCGTTGCTGTTTTGTTTTTTGTTTGTTCAGCCATTTCGATATTTGGATTATTGAGTTGTTGTTAGTCATTATGGCTTAAAGTGTTATGATTTAAAAATAATTATGGACAAACGAAAATAATTGTGGACGCGACAAAAATAACTGTGGACGCGCCGAAAATAATTATTGACGATACTGTATTACTAATTAAAAATTTGCTAATCACAAACCGCTTAGTTGTCACTAACTGTTTTTAGAGTTTACCACAACATAATTACACTTTATTACAACTCGAATCCATTAATGTTTGTTTTAGCATGTATTTAAACAATTGTTTATTTATTATATAAATGAAAATCTTGAATAAAACAAAATTAAGTTTTTTTAGCTTTTTCATTTTTTTAATATATTATAACTTGATACACTCATTATTAACTTTGTTTTATATTTAAACACACAAACATTTATTTAAAAAATTAGGTTTTTAATAATTATGCTTATATCTGTGTTTGTCATTTTAGTTGCACAGGCTATTAAAGATCGAAAGATTTGATTATTTTTAAATTTTAATTTTAGGTTTTTGATGAACTCTTAGTAATTCAAACATGCCTAAACTAAAATCTTACCTTATAGATTTGCAACTTTTGTTATATTTGTTTAGTTATGTCTAATTTTGTTTTTAATTTCAGCATTTACTCAGTTCTTGCAAGCCATTTATATTTTTTAATATTTTTTTTCGTATTTATATTATTTATATTATAAATATATAAGGAATAAACTATTTATATTATTTAGACGACGTAATTTTAGCACTCAGAAGTTATCGAGAGAGGGGCAAATATAAAATTGAAGTTTCAAATTTCACTTAGATGCGACAATATGTTTCGTATTTCTTTAATCTTTTTTTTAATATAATAGATAACTACAAAAAATCAAAACAAAACCAGCATGAGCAAAACACTTTTAATTATAAGAAAAGTTTTCTTATAATACATACAATCCTGAATAAAACGTTATGTTAGTGGATTTATTGCATTTTATAAAAAATATATATAAACAACTAACATATTTTTATATATATAAATCGTTTGTATAGGGATGGTTACGCAAAACAAAGTTAAATAAAAAAAATTAGTTTATAGTAAAATTAAATAATGATTTACATAATGCTTCTTTGCATACACCAACACACTATATTAAAATTTTTAAATGCACTTAACTGCAATTACTTTAGATTTTTAGATTTAATGGCTTTTGTTATGAGCTTTTGAATTTTGCTTCAAATTATCTTATTTCAACATATTCGTTGTATTATCCATACTGCAGTTGTTTTTCAAAACGCCTTAAAGTAAAAAATATCAAGCTTGACTTATTTCACAAAATAAGCTAGTTTAGATTTCTGCAAACGTTATTATTTACGTATTTTCAAAGAGTTCTGATAAAATTCACATAAAATTTTTGTTCGTTAAAGGGTATATTTTTTTTTTTATATAATCTTTATAAAACTTTAAAAGTAATAGCATTTTAAAATAATCGAAAAAAACTTTTAAATAAAAGTTTTAAATGTAAGAACTCGTACCACGGCTTATTTGTTCAAAAGCTCAGCGCGTTTTCCACTCGGCCACGATGGCACTTTGTCAAACAAAAAATTTAAAACTATCTAATAATTTTTTAACGCAAAGAATTGATGTAGATCAAAGAGAGCTTGACTTAATACAAATTTCAAGTGAAAATCAAACTATAAAACTTGATAAATATTTTATTATGTTTTAACATTACTTAAATTGAAGTTTACATACGTTAGATATTGGCATACACACGTTCGTTCACGTTTTATTATAAAACAATGTGTTGCAACTCTTTCTCGCAAATACCTCAATTGCAATAGCGGCTAAGGGTTCCGTGTCAAACAAGCTCGAATGAGCACTACTACTACAACTACTATTACTACTACTACTACTACTACTACTACTACTACTATTACTACTACTACTACTACTACTACTATTACAACTACTACTACTACTACTACTACTAATACTACTAATACTACTACTACTACTACTACTACTACTACCACTACTAGTACTACTACTACTACTACTACTACTACTACTACTACTACTACTACTACTACTACTACTACTACTACTACTACTACTTCTACTACAGATTATGTATATAGAGATTCTTGTCCCATTCCGACGTAGGAGTTTTGAGCCATTTCCCATCTTCTTTTAAGTTTTGAAAAATCAATTGCAAGCTTTCCTAATTTAAGAAAATATTTCAGAACTTTTTTCAATTAATAAAAGAGTTGGTTTACCATAATTGAAACTAAGTGGTTTTCCATAATCTAGCATTTTTTTTTTAATTCTTTATTGTTTAGAAAAAGTTTGTTTGGAAATTAACATAATACAGACAACTGTTCAGTTAGATTCATAAAGTGTCTGTTTAAAATTTGTTAAGCTTTTTCAGCAGCCACACAGAAGTTTTGTATACTTTTAAGAGTTTCTAAGTCGTTAAACAACTCTAAATCATTAACTGGTGAATCACTAGCTTTTGGTCCTTCTAATCAGTCTTTAATGTAAATGGCTGAGCAGAAAGTCAAAAATAATTTTAAGTTGCTTAAATCAGATTTTATTAATTTATTTTTAAATACTAACATTCATCTGGTATGATCACTAGCACTACATGTTTTCCATTTCTTGGGTTCCTCTCCACCTAATAGAAAAAATGCCATTTTTGCAGCTTCATTATAATCATCTCGTGCGTGATGCTTAAATTGTATTACTCTCTCTAAAAAAAATGCAAGTTTTGTTTGCTTTTTTTAAGAAAGGATTTTCAAGATCAAGGGTCATATTAGATATTTTAAGAGGACTTTTTTTCAGAGTTAAGCCATTCCTTTTTGAAAATTTTAAACTCTATATTATTATCAGATGTTGTCTCCTTTTGAAATAAAGCATTCCGAAATGACATAAGATACAGTTCTAAAACATGAAGGCGACATGCAGGCTAGAGAAGCGTTTTCATTGATTTGGTTTCCTCTAGAAGATTTGCTGCTCTGTTTCTCACTCCAGTATGACACGCCGTTGTATCAAAGACATGGGAAACAATATTTTTCTTAAAATCCCATTCTTCTAAATCTTCTATAGTTCCTCTACAGATAGAAATTCCTGGTCCAGACTGAATAGGTTTAATAGAAAAAATTTTACCTTCTGGGCAATTCAGGAATTCACTTACTAAAACAGTTAAATAATAGATCTTTTTGCCAGACATTTGCTTCATGAATTTTCCATCCTAGAGAAAAATTAAATAATCTGATTTAACTTTTGTTTAAACTCTGAAAATATGCTTCTTGACATAATTTGCCTATTTGGCTTACGCACTCTTCTAATTGTTTTTATTAAAATGTTCACTTCTTTAGTTTAACACCACCTAAAAACATATTTTAGAGTTTCTTATGTTTATCAAAAATAAAAGCAATTTAAAAAAAAAAACAAAGCAAAAACCTATAACCAGGATTGCAGAAATATTATTCATTAGCTGTGCATTTGATAATTCAGATCTGTCAGCTGTTGCTAATATCATTGGATGACAATTAAAGTTTCTTGGTAAAGTTAAGTTTATATTATATGACACAATACCTTCCATGATTTCGATAGGTGATTTTAAATTATTTACTTTATGATTAATTTTAAAAGAGCTCTGAAAATCAGAGCGCCAAGAACCAGCATCAAACCATTCTTCAGTTGAGTCACTTCTATTATCAATGTTAAAAGCAGTTTCATTATTGAGTTTTCGTCTCTTTTCCCTATTTATTCTCGATATTTTTTTTTCTTCTTTTTCTATTTTTCTTTTTAAACTCAGTTTTAATAAATTATCTCTGCTACCTATTCCAGTTTTATCTCCACATTTGAGAGATGCAAACCAGTCAAAATCTTTTTTTTCATCTTTACATCATCTGGTTTTTCTAACACATTCTTTTCATTTTGGAGAACTAATATCAAAAATATCATCCATTATTTTTTTGAAATCTTGACCAAGTAAATCTTTCTTTGAATTTTTTTTTAGATTTAGACTTAGCAAGCTTTCTCTATTTATCATGAAGGTTTAGAATACTTTTAATAGTGTATTTTTCCTGCTTGCAAAGAATATCAGGTTTATCCCAACATACTTTAACAGTTTTTATTATTAATTTAGCAGTTAACTTTAATTTTGAAATATTGTATTTAATATCTAATTATTTTTTGTATTTGGATAAAACTTGAAATAAATTGTTTATCATTTTTAAGCGAAACCTTAACAAACAAAAGCAGAAATTTAATTAAAGCACATTATTTTCATACATATATAAAAAGTGTGTAATACACCAATTGAAATTTGAAAAAAATTTAAAAATATATATAAACCTGAAAAATTTGTAGACATCGCCTGTAGTAGGCAGAGAACTGGTATTAATATCTTCAAGCGGGTATCCAACTAACCGAATTTCATCTGACGATTTCAATACTTTGGTGTATTTCTTTTTTATTGACTCCGCCAGAATATTTTATTGTCGATTTATATTTCTTTTGTAAAAAAGATTTCAATTTTTAAATGAAGTAAGACTTTTATGAATAATAGAAAAATATTAACAATTAAAACACGATGATTGATTTCTTACTTTAAAACGAATGCAAAAGTTAATAAAGCTGTAGAATTAATTCATTTTTTATATAACAATACATTTTTTTATAACGATAAGCAGTTAGAGAGTGTCGCCTTCCTATTAAGATATTATAGTATTATCAGCAAACAATGCACTTCAGATATGAAAGTTTCTGGGAGATCGTTAATGTAAATTAAAAAGAGTAATAGGCCAAGAATAGAACATTGAGAAACTCCTGAAGTTTGTGTGATGTTTATAATTGATTATTATTGTCTTGCAATACCTAATTGCCTAAAGTCGCGTGGCTACTTTAATTATAATAGTCACACCACACCTAATATTTAAAGTCTTAATCATAATTAATAATCATAAATACTTTTAATATAGCGCGTTAAATCAAGTTCCATAACATGCCAGTTTTATTAATAAAATTTGATACAACACTTTTTGTAGTGTAGTCAAAACAATTTAAACAGCAAAAATTGTGCACATTAAATCCTGCTCTATTTCTAAATAACTAAAAAACATAACCATGCATGTGAATTAAACTCAGATGTTATATTTATAATACGCTTTATACGCTTTCTATGTGGTATCAAATAAACGTCCCCACCCTATTAAACAAAACCTTTTACAACTTATTACATTTTTATTGCTAAACTTAAACTTGTTTTACTAATTTATAAGTTCCTTTGGTAACAAAAACTTATAAAAAAAAAATTAAAGAAAATTGTAATTTGACCTGAAAATTAGAATTTAAGGACAAATACACTTTTCTTTCTCTCCAACCGTCATTTCATAGTGACGGTTATGGTTATATTAAAATAAAAGTTAGTTATTTTTTATGTTTAGATACTTCTAGTTATTTATTTAAATTTATGTAGTTATTTTTATGCATTTGTTATTTGTATAAATTATTCAAAGTATTTTCTTGTAATATATAACATTTCCGCTTTTATGATAAAATATTTGTAAATTATAGTTTTATACAAGTGGTGCTCGGTGATAAGCCAATATGCATTCTTCCTGCTCCAGATAATCATTTTGTTTTATATGTATGTATATGAAAATTTTATTTATAGTATGATGATAAAATAATTAACGTTGTTTTACCCTCAAAAATCTGCTATAGTAATCTGAATTAGTTATACTATCGCTTATATAGTATAATTAATTCAGAAGTTGTCAGAACTGTTTAAAAATTTAAACATAAATTCTTTAATGAATTTAGAATGTTGTGTACAAACAATTTTTTTTTAATTTTTTTTTTGTTCTTTATTTAAATATTTAATACAATATTTACAAATATATCAATAAGAAAAATTAGATGCAATGAAATCGTTAAAAATAAAGAATAATACTATTAAATTTAATTAAATTTAATAAAAATTAAATAATTTTACTATGTTAACATTAAAACTTAAATATATACGATGGTTAAAATTTTCGGATCAAAAAATTGGCTTCATATACTACATTCCTAAAATTTTTACCTTTTATTCTGCAAATTTTCAGCCGATTATCTATTTGGAATCTTTATTCATCTTATTTCATAAATTAAATCATCGCGAGAAAAAGAAAATTGTTTAAATGCTAAACAGTAAAAGAACGTAGCCCGTAGCCTACCTAATAAATAGTAAGTATATGAAACAAAAGTTTTATATTAACCATCACCAAATGCATCTCTCTTTTCATATTTTTTTTTTTTTTTTTGATGCGTAAACAATATTGCTGTTTAAAAAAAGACTAAATTTGATAGGAATTGTGAAACTTTTTTAATATTTGAAAAGCGTATATCAAAAAACATAATTATTTACAAAAAATCTCTAGTTTAAATGCTAAGAGAGTAATGGTCCTTGAAAGTACGCACTTTTAGTAACCTTTCGTTAAAAAATCAAAAATATTATTTGCCTTTCTTTAAGATCTCTTTTCTTTTTTCTATTAGGAAACATTTAAAATTTAAAAAAAAATCTGTAAAAAGTATTAACTATTTTACATAAAAAAATAAATTATTTACCTGGGGAATGATTTTGTAAATCATGACTGGTACAGTTTTTCTTTATATTTTTCCTTATTATTTGATATGATCTCCAAAAAAGTCCTGCACTATTTTCAAAATATATTTTTATCGGAATTTCAATGTCAGGTTTACAAATAAAGCAATTGATATTTTTAATAAAAGCGACAATACTTTGATTAACTCCAATGTCTAATAATTTCATTACCTAAAGCACATTATTATTAATAGAACATAAGAGGTTTTATATTTACCTAAAAAATTACTTTTTTAAAAAAGTGTTACTTAATTTTTCAGATAAAAAGCATAATAACATGGTAAACGATTTTTTGATTATTATGAAACTTTCGCGAAATTTTACGAAAATCATACCTTATATTGAACTAACTTTAAATCATTATAAACAACATTTACTGATGTATAATTTGATTGAAGCGTTATGAAAGGTGGAAAAAAGTACTCCCAAGATACATTAACAGCTGGTTCATCGAGATTCCAATAGTTTATTTGAAAAGTAATATACAAGAAACTTCTAAAAAATAATTATTTTATTATCAACTGATTTTACACAGGTAATTTTGTGTAAATATGACATTAAATTTTAAATCTGTTAGCGGAAAAGTTGATTTGATATTGAATTGTAAAACTATGGTTGGAAAAATCAATATGACGTAGAATATTTTTGCTTCGGAAAATTTAATATGACTAGAATTTTTTAGGCTATCATCTACCTATATAATAAACTATTAATGTACTATCAGCTACTCATTAAAAACTATCTTCTACCTTTGAACATAAAGCTTAGCATTGTTTTTGAAGTAGCTAAGCATATATGTTAAACTATTAAAAAACGTTTTTTTTTTAAATAGCATAACGTCTATTCAATTAGCTTTGCACAGCATTTTTTTTTTTTTTTTTTTGATTGATTTTCTTCCACTTGCTATGGTTTCGAAATTTTTGGAAAAGGATGTAACAAAAACAGTGGGCGCCAATTTTCTCCATATAACCTAATAAAAAATTCATAATGGTTTCTGAGCTATCTTTTTACGATATAATATCTTACTGTCAAACTCGTGGATAAACTCCATCCATGATGAGTCTTATGATCTAAAAACTCACACATGGCTTCATAATGTGTATATCTAAAATTCCAGTTTACAACATATACCTTCTGTTGACTAATGTCGTAAATATTTACGTATTTCATTAAAAAACAGTGATTTTTATGTCTTTTTGCTTGAAACTATTATTTAACTGTAATTTAGACATATAGTTGTAAACTGGAATTTGAGATTTATTTATGAAATTTATCTTTATAAGTAATAATATTGATAGATAGGGAAACCGTCGTTTAGTCTATCAAGCTGTTTAATTTTTGTTTTAGTACTAGTTTTTTAAATAAATTGAATTTCAATACCTATATAGTTTTTAAAGAGCAGATTTTATAAAAAACCACACGATATATATTTACACTTAAAAATTCATAATATACAAAAACCCATAAATATATATCTATAGCCCTAATTCAATGAAAAAGTTGATAATTTTTTGAAACTTTTTACAAAAAGTAAAAACTGCGTAAGTTTTGGACCAAATTTTGTTTTTCTCAAAATAAAGCTATGAGAATTTTCGAGGCAAAAAAAATCGCCGTGTTGTTAGTAACATTATTAGTTTTTTGTTGTTGTTAAATTTAAGTTTTGTTTTAATTTTAATTGTAAATAAAAATAATGTCGACTAGCATAAGTAGCTAAAACAATGATCTCGTGAAGTTTTTATTGTTAAAAAAAAGAATTGAAGCAGTACCCATAACACAATTTGCAACTGAAAAAACTCCATGTAATATTACAACAACAGAGAGGTAATGCTAATTCTTATGATAACAAAACTTATTCTAATTTTTTTAAATTAAAATTTTTTATTTTATTAATTGCCTAATGTACTGAAACAGAAGATTCCAAGGTAGCATAGATACGTTGATAAAACGTTAGAAAAATGTAGCGAGTTGCGTTTGCCCAACATCGACCGCCAACATTGTTTTTATATTATTTTGGTTACAAATGCAACGTCACCAACCATCAAAACAATACGTCTGCCTTACGTTATTTATGGCGCTGCTTGACTTCGGCCGAGTGGTAACTAAACCCTTTAGTGGGCCAAATGTGGAGTCTCTCTCTCTTTCTTTCTTTATATATATATATATATATATATATATATATATATATATATATATATATATATATATATATATATATATATATATATATATATATATATATATATATATATATATATATATATATATATATATATATATATATATATATATATATATATATATATATATATATATATATATATATATATATATATATATATATATATATATATATATATATATATATATATATATATATATATATATATATATATATATATATATATATATATATATATATATATATATATATATATATATATATATTATATATTGAAATATTTAGATGAAAAAGTATTGTTGTAAATTATTTAAATATATGTTTTTATATCTGCATTTTCTTGATGCAAAAACAACGTTGATCCACTGCATATAATCCAACGTTATTTCAATGTATATGAAGCAACGTTGATCCAATGTATATAATTCAATTTTATTCAATACATATTGGATTAACGTTGGGTTAAAAATCATGGATTAAAGTTAATCTAAATACATTAGATCAACGTTGGGTTATGATCAAAAAAACAACCAACCTTTGCAATATTTTTACATATGTGGGAACAATGTTTTTTTTTTAACTATTTTTAATTTCGTTGTTATTAAGGTTTTTATTAATACAAATATGATACAACTAACATTGAACCAACGTTGCATTTGGATCTGAAAAAGTAGCTGACGTTTGCGTTGCATTTACATACGTTGTACAAACTTAACTGTGCTAGCTTCAAAAAAAGTTTGCTGAATGTACTTTAATAAGAGCAAAAAATTTGCAAAAAGCAAGGGCTCTCTTTCTCATTTTATTAATCCATTTAATTTCAAATTAAACTAATAATATAGTAATTTAAGGATTCACTTTTCAACATTAAAATTATTTGAAAAATATTTCTTCTACTTTTTCTTTGCCGATTATAGAAAAGATAGTTGAATTAGAAAAAGTATTTACACTAACACAGAAATTTTTTTAAAAATTTGAAAACTTTTAAACATGCTGGTGTATGTACTTAATGCCAAATTAAAAGATTGTAAAGATATCATCTTTAAAGATAAAACTTAAGTCTTAAGAACTAGAAAATAAGATGTAGATAGTTTATGACCAGCAGTCGTAATCACATCTCTTCATTTAAACTATTGGAAAATTTGAGTGATCATTAAGTAAAAAACTCTAAACGGCTGATTATAAAAAAGAGAAAAACATAAATTTAAAAATAAAAAAATAAAAACAGAAATAAATGGTATTCTAATCCTGCCCTTAAGGCTTCATATATTTACTGCTCCAATAACTATTTCGAATAAAATTCCTCTTTTAACCAGCTCCGTTAACTTGTTTTCAGGCTGTTTTTATCACTGCATCTAAATGTACCGATGCCAAAAGATGATGGTATTGTATAATTGGTAAATTGTGCCCTGAGGTTTTTAAACAACTGTTGTTGATTAATTCTTTATATTAAATTTAAGCACGTTTAAATACAAAAAACTTAAAGATGTTGTGAATAGTTACATTTTTTTTAAGTTTTATGTTTATGCTTCCACATTATTATGGATTTCTCAAAACCCTTCTTTTTTCTTGATTTTTGTATAGGGATTAAAATATTAAAACTGAGAAACTTTATTGTGACACATTACAAGAAATCGCGACCTACAGTGGCAACAATGTAAACAGCACACTTTCAGGACCAGTTGGTTTAATTTTTTGATATAAAGTTTTATGCTTTTATAGCGATTGCTGTTAATTTTTTACAGCATCAAAAATGTTTACTTTTTAAAACTGAATTACTCATTAGACATTTATAATTATTAAAGTGGCTTGTTTTAAGTATTTTAGTTGTCGCGATTAAATTTCTGAAGTCATTTTAAATAACACACATTCACTTTTTCTTAAAAAAACAAACAGAGTTCTTGTATTATATTAAAACAAAGTTATACTCAATATTTTAGGAATAAACTTGTAATACAATTTGCAAAAGATCTGTCAAATTTGATAAGAATTAAACATGGAACAAATGTCTTTCTTGGACAATTACAGGCATATTGAGATCAAGAACAGAACAACTCTAAAATGGCTTGAAAATTGGGTTGGTCTTCTTAAAAAGTTGTCGATGCTGTTAATTTATTAAACAAAACTAGATCATTAAGCAACAAAAAAACGCAAGTCCTGCAAACGAAAGACAACCTCCATAGAAGACGCAGCAATTGTCCGTATTGCTAAGATTAATATTTTTGCTGACGCTAAAAAATTAAAGGTTATATTGCACAAAACTTACAAATCAATCTGCCTGTCGGCACTGTCAAAAGTAGGTTACGCGAAAATATTTTAATTAGAAGAGTTGCCAAAAAAAAACATTGGTCTCAAAACGCATTTCGTCAGTCGCCTGAAGTTTGCAAAACAGTATTTACAAAGCATAAAAATGTTTCATAAGAAAGAATTCAAATAAATAATATAAATAGAAAAAAAAAATTAGGTGTCTACTTTTGAGTTGTCTCTGTTTCCGTCGTCTTCAAATGGCGGTGCAAGCTGCAGTCAGATGTTTAAAACTAGTGTTTTGGCACTGGGAATCTAAGCATCAGACTTGCTCCAGTCACTAACAAGAATTTTCAAGAAGCTGGTGTCTAGGTGAAGCCGATTAATTGTGAACCACAAATCAACTCTAGCAAGGTTACAGAGTCGAGTCGAGCACTAGATAAATAATGTAAAACGTGGCTTTTGCCAGCCATTACCAAAGCAATCTAGCGGAGCTTCTAGAACATTCACAGGCTTGAGTTAAAGCAAGGCATCTGCCAGAGCTCGTCGTTCTGACATTGGAACACATTCACTGAATAGAGCAAGAGGAATCATTTTAGCTGTGAGATACCAAAGATGACGAGTAAGTGCTTGAATTGCAGAATGAGATACATCTTTGTTACCAAATTTATACTCCAGAAGGCGCTTGTACAGCTGTAGATCATTCCATGGTGAATCAACAGTCTTCTCACATGTGAGCTACCACACGCCATAGACATGTGTAATAAATGTAACAAAACGACGCATCTTGGTTACTTGATGACAAGTGGTATTGGTTTCTGCTGGCAGTTTTCCAATTTGCATTCCACGGAGTACAATTTTGAGGCTGTAGATGAGCTTTGCCATCCATCGAGCTTTATGCAGAGCACTAGGTCTCCAAAATTTCACCTCGTCGTTAGATACAAATAGAAACACAAGTGATAGTTCAGTGACCTCATCACGCAGAAGTTCGACATCTTTAACAGCACAATCAATCATTTCAACCTTCATATTAGTCAATAGGTCTTGTGACTGTGTGTCATGATCAACTGGACAAAAAGGAACTATTTGAGTTGAATTATGTGGTATCAGATTTCGATTTATTCGTAACCTTGTGAAAAGTCTGACATCTGGTGATTTCAATGCCTCTATTTTCAAGTCAGTAAGTACGTGAGAAACCAAGACTTCACCATAATGATGGTAACAACCTGACCATAGGAGAGCACGTTGTAGCTTACCTTGTATGACAATTCCAGCTGCTGTCAGATGGCCAGTATTTGAACTTGTTGAACCAAACTTCATATTCACAATTTAATCAATACAACGCCACTCCTTCAGCAGCTTCGCCATCAACTGAGCAATTATTTCTCCAAATGACATGAATGTTGCCTTGAAATAACTTGGAACTCCGAGCAGTTTCAGCTGTGGTGCATCACCTACAACCACTGTCATACCCTCTTCAGTGATACGTGGAGTGTTGGGAGTGAGAATTAACTTTTCATCCCAATGCAGAATGAGGAGTTTGGGTGGCTGCAAAGTGTTTTAAATTGTTTTCGTTATCTCACCTCGGTAGTTGCATAAGAAGAAGCAACCATTAAAACATCACCTCCAGATTCAGATATCAATCCCTGGGTGAATGCAGCTTGATGTGTTGGTGTCATTTTAAGTCTTGTTGCAATGACACTAAAGCAAGTTTTGTACTGGAGGAATGCAAGATCCTCTGGATTTTTGAAAAAACTTTCAACATTAGGCGGCCAGAGCTGGAATGTTGGTGCCAACATGGATTGGATATCTTTCAGTTTTACTTTGTGTTCGGTGTGTCACGACGGCTCTTTTTGATGGAACGGAGTTTGTTGTTATTATCTAGGAGTTTAATTATTTTATTACATGCTCCCCAGACAGCAAGCTTACATTGGCCAAATGTAAGTTTTAACATTTTTAACAAGTTTATTTCGTTGGGCCAACATTTAGCCAATATTTTTTTTCAGCGTATTATTTTCAATTTTAAATCGGTTTTTTGCAAATATTGTACAATATTGGGCCAAGATTTAACCAATGTTTTTTTTTCGGCGTAATATTGCAATTCTACAAATCGGTTTTTTGCAATTATTGTACTACGTTGGGCCAATATTTGGCTAATGTAGTTTAGGTTTAATATTTTGCTATAAAAATCTGTTCTTACATTTATACCGTAGCTAAAATTCGGCCAATGTAGTTGCGGATTAGTATATACTTTTAAATTTGTTTCGAAACATTTTTAAAAATGGTATCGTTTGATACAATAAAAAAAGGTTTTGTTTTCATTTTTTTTTTTAATTATAAAAAAAAGATGCTATATTTATTAATCTTCTAAAAATCTTAAAAGCTTCCTTATAAGAAATAAACTTCAAGAGATTCTCGTGATTTGATGTTTTGTTTTTTTTAAATAATGAAATATTTGTTACCATTTAAATAATATGCTTAAAACGTTTTTTACTACTATCTAAATTATTAATGTAATAATAAAGGCAATAATTAAAATATTTTTGTGTTAGATCTTAAAGTTATTATTTTACTTTTATTACTCTTTTGGCATTTCAAATGTTTGATTAATTTAATAATCTTTATTAAATAAATGAAACATTTCAAATGTTCGATTTATTTAATAAAGAAGACATTTTAAACGCCTTCTTTATTAAATAAATCAAACATTTAAAATGTCATACAGTATAAGTTTTTTTTTTTCATAATTTATTTATAATAGTTTAGATTATATAGCTATTAAAAGATATATTATTAAAGGTGTTAATAATATATATGTGGGATTGTAAATACCAATGTCAAATTCAATGCCATTGAAGTTGTTAGAAGTTGATATTTTACATTTTAAATATGTCTCATTTGTTTGATTTTTTTAGTGTTTGATTATGAAACTCCATCTACTAACATATTAAAACAGTGTACAAAAAGCGATGTTACTAGAACTTATAGTCTACTTATGTAGAGCTTTCTAATATTCCATGTTTCTGAGGTTTAATTATTTTTTAATTTATCAATTCTGGATATTTTTCATATTTAGTTTGCGTACAACAATTAACAACTTTAGGCTTATACATTATCTTTAGTTATAACTTAATTAATAATGATTTGATTTATAGATTTTTAAAGAAATACAAGATTAAATTTAGCAGAAGACTAAATTTCTGCTCTGGAGACAAAAAAGGAAGACAGTGAAAATGACAAGTCAAAATAAAAATTAACGAGACAAAAAATTGTGTATATCTTGGTGTAGATAATTCATCCTCATTTTCTTATAGTAAAACAAAAAATATTACTAAACTTTGGGATTTACCTGTAACTCCAAACTCTTTACAGAAGTTCAATGTTTGCTCTGAGAAGTTGAATGAACAAATTTATTAAATGTTAAGTTTTTATATAAAAGTCTTTATGTCTGACCATTGAAAATCTTTATTCATAGCTTTAGCTTTTACAACTTTAAAAACTTTTTCATATATTACGGTCAAAAAGTCATAGTGTTAATTAACATTTTATTGTGTAATAATCACCATATCAAAGCTTGGTCTGGAAGCGAGAGCGATCGCTCCCTAATACTGACCACAGAAAAACTGGCCAGGTTTTCTAGTCGATTTAACGTAACAAAAAATTTTTGTTGGTTTTCAAAGTTGGTGTTACCATCTTTGAAATCTATTTGAAATCAACTGTTAAAAAAAACAACAGAGTATTCATATCAGTTTAAAGTTTTAACAGTTGCTGGTGGTTCATTATTGTTCATTATATAAACGTTTATTTAAATTTATATAATAGACGAAGGTAACACAATATTTTCATAGATGATATTATTTTTAAAAACTGTATTATTAAAATTCAGAATTAAAATATGTAAAAAAAATTATTTACAAACATTGGACAACTTTATATTTCGAATAACCAGACTTTTTATGAAAGTGAGGTTGTTTGAAAAGAATATTTTTTTTAGGAAAAGATAAAATTATAAGATAAAAGAAAGATTTTTTTTAGATAAACAATAAACGATAAACAAATTTTAGATAAAATAAAAATAAAGTTTTTTACAGGAAAAATTTTTTTCATTTGCTTGCAAAATTTTAATTTTGTGACTTGTCACATTTTCAAAATACAGCACTCAAGTAAGCTATTATGTTTTTTTTGGAGCTACCTATTTAATTTTTCTGAAACTTATGTTTTTTTAAGTGTTTGTTCTTAGTCATCCTTAATAATAAGATCCATACTAACATGTATAATAAGCTCCATACTAATATCCAACTTAACTAATAGCTAAGTTTTAAAAGTTTTGTCATTGAAAGCATGTACAATCTTAGCATTTCCATAGTAATTTTAAACATTTTGTAAAAACCATTGTTAGAAATGGTCAGGGAAATTCAACTGATTTTTCTAAAAAGTCATTGTTTTTTATATAAATAGTTGGCTACGAACCCTGTTGGAGAAACATTGTTTTAATATGAATATGTTGTACAGCGCAATCTGTATTTTAGAAGATACACAAAAAAATTCTCGTTAATGTGTAACATTAACGAGAATTGTTTTGTATCAGTGCCAGAAATTGAATCCACACCTGCAAATTTCATAATTCATAAGAATCTTATAAATCCATTAGCAAGTATATATTTTTATCATTAAAAATTTGACCCTCTTTCTTTAATTTTATCTGTTTTATTAGTGATTGTTGTATTTACTTTTATAAATTCTAAATATAATATGTAATTAGTTGTATAGTTTCTTAATAATATAATCAACTTTAATGTTTAAGATAAAGTTGTATCCTTGAAAGATATGCTGGTATTATTGGCACAATGGGCAAGCATTAAAGTGCAACTTAATGAACTACAAAACACATTAAATTCAGTTATAAAAATTTGAGTAACAAAGGTATGCTAAGTATTGTTTTGCCTGAAAGAGTGTCATTGCCATTAAAAGCAGTAAAGAATTCAAGTACTCTGGAAGAAAAAAGACAAGAAAATACTTTAGTAAATGGTAAATTTTTTTTTATGATCTGTTTATGCATTTTGTATGATATCTTAGTACAACTTATATATTTTAAATAAAATACTCTTTGAAGATTTCTTGTAAATGACATTTTATATTAATTTAAGTCTAAACAAAAATTACTTTAATAATTGCCAGGTTGTGTATTTTTGCAGGTCAATTATTTGGCACAAATTGGAGTTAAAGACAAAGGAGATTGTATATGTTATTTACTAAGAATTGTTTTTTAAAATGGCCTAGCTGTAAAATTAAACTATACAGAAAGAGGATAAAAAATTGGATTAGGAAAAATGTTGATTGCATATGTTGCTATTGGCAAGTGGTTTAGAAAAGTTTATTTTTTCAGTCTCAATTTTGCATTACAGAATTAATTTCAGTTTGTTTCTTTGGTGCGTAATTAAACAAACAACTATTTTTTTTTTTTTGCATAAATTGTGAAGTCAAATGAGCATGGCTTAAGCAGACATGTGATAGAGATAGTGGAAGAAAAAATAATAATAGTGGGTACCAAATATCATAAGCTAAACACGATTCAATAACAAGTAGCTCCGCCAATATCAAAACTACTCTATAAATTTAATAGTGAATTTTTTTATTTGAAACTCAATGTGTCAGTTTTTGGTTTAGTTTGGTGTTTGCAATATGTATATTTAACCAAGTAAGTTTGTTAAATAAACAAATTTTTATACTTGTATCATACATTCTTTTTTTTTCTCTATAAATTTTTAATGTAGCGATGCAAATCATCTTATTTGTAACAACGTCTAATGTTGCATAAAACGTTATGCCGATATACGATACTGGGCCAATGTTGTATACAACGTTAGGCCAATTTGTATACAACGTTGGGCCAATGTTGTATACGATATTGGCCTATCGTTACATACAACGTTGGGCCAATGTTGGGTAAACATTGTATACAACATTGGGCCAATGTTGTACACAACGTTGGGCCAATGACTAACCAATGTTCAAATCTGCATTGGGCCAGCATCAACTTTTAACGTTGGGCCAATGCATGATGATGCAATGGCCCAACGTTGGTCCAATCTAAGCTTGCTGTCTAGGTCTTTTTTCTGTAACCATTGGTATGTTGGCTTTTCAATACAGCGATGCAATTTCTTTCAGCACTATTTTTGCTGTTGTATATCTTGATGGTGCACCAGTTGATCCTGAATGTTGACTGTTTACTGCTACATTGCAGTGTTACATCATGCTTCTTAAAACTTGTAAGCAAGTTGGAAGCCGAATACCTGTGATTGTTCCATTATCTGCGCATATAGCAGGACTGATTCCAAGCAACTCGACAAGTCTGTGGCTTTATTTTGGAAGCTTAGAAAGGAGTTGTGTTTTGTGGACTTGGCACAACGGATACAGTTTTACTAAGTGATGATGGTTCTTTAAAGAATAAAAAAGCTTGCCAAAACACTTTACTCTTTTAGATTCAAAATAATTTCAAACAACTTCAAAATCACATCACCTAGGCTAGTGGACTCGAGTTTGAACATGCATTAGATTTTATTAAAAATCTCCTCTGGGTTAACTAAATACCGTAGGATTAAAAAAAAAATTTCCACATTTATATTTTAAATAAAATTAAGAAATTAATTATTGCTGACATTGACTATGCTTTATTCTATAATACGCTATACTATCCCATGTGCCACATTTATAATTCTACATATTAACTGAATAAACTGATAATCTTTTAAACACTATACACAGTACACATAAGCAAATTCAGTTTCTTAATTTTTTTGTAAAAGTTACAAATAATAGAGCAAACAGTGTAAATTGTGAATAATACTGCATATTTACCCATTTGTAAAAATAATTGTTGACAAATCATGATTATTTATATAACTTCTGAATGGCAGACTACATAAAACAATCATGAAAAAATTGAACATTTTACATTTTATAGGGAGCATAATTTTAAATAACATATGTGAAACTTGTGCGGCTATATATATATATATATATATATATATATATATATATATATATATATATATATATATATATATATATATATATATATATATATTACATATGTATATATATACATATATATATATATATTAGGGTGTCCCAAAAAAAAAAAATTTTTTTTTTCCTTTAGTTTTGTGTGTAGTTTTGTCCGTTAAAAGTGAAAATAAGAAGATTTTTGAAAAATTTTGAAGTTTGACCCCCCCGCCCTTCTTTTAAAGTTTTTACCCCCTCTGCCGCCCACTTTTTCAAAATTATTTACTTTTAAACTGATTTTAGGCTAAATATATAAATGTATTAAATATGTTTTGTATCAATATTGATCACTATTATAATTCTAAACTATGTATCATAGCTAATATTAGTAAACATAATTTGTTTCAATTCAACGATTCTCAAAAATTATTAAATATTATTATTCAATGCTTGAGATGAGAAAATTTTTTATGATGAATATTAATGTTACATACATTATTCAAATAATTTTATAATTTATAGCTACTTTTTTATCTATAGATATAATAGCATATATAAAAAATATTTGATCAGTTATGAGAAATAGTAAATTGAGGAAAAATGATGAGAAGTTTGATAATATTGTTGGTAAATTATTACCTACCCTTGAAGCAAAGATGTATAGTCAGCTACCAACAAATGGAGATGTTGTACGCCATTATCTTTATCTTACAAGATTTGAATTGAAATTAACTGGTAAAAAAGAAGTTGCATCTGTAGTTTGGGAAAAAGTTTATGTTTTTTGGAAAATGGCAGGAATTCCAATAAAACAGAAGAAAGATATTGTCAGAATGATACTACATCTGATTCATCTTAGAGAGAACTTGATTAAAAATGCAAAAAAAAAAAGTTATGCAGCTCAACTTCTGAGTTTTACTAATAAACTATCATTATTGTTTGATATTGCAGCATCAAATGCCGAAAATTTGATAAGAAAAGATACCTTGCGTAGTATCAATAGTCAGATCTCAGATATAGACTTTCTCTCAGATCAACGTCACTTAAAAAAGCAATTTTTGGGCCCATTAGACAAGAGTTATGCTATGAAAGTGAAAAGAATGGAGGAAAAAGAGAAAAATAAAATCAAGGCTATTGAAAAAGAGAAATCTAGAAAAGAAAACATAAAAGAAAAAAGCTTCAATGTATTGGCAGCATTTGATAATGAAGGCAAAACTCATAATAAAAATGAAGAAAGTACTATTGCTAGACAGAAAAAAAAAATCAAGATATTAGAAAACCCTAAAGTTTCCTTAATGGCTGATAGGTTGAATCTATCCAACAGAGAAAGATCTGGAATCATTTTAGCTGTAGCTGAAGCATTAGGTCACAATTTAGATGAAATATCTATCTCAAAAAGCACAGCGTACAGATCAGGTAATAAAATTCGACAGCAAGTTTCAAATGATCTTAAGAAAACATTCATTTCACCCATGTACTCTTCCATTCACTGGGATTCAAAGCTGATATCTGAGGTCGATGGTAAAGTGGAACGTTTGGCTATTGTTGTAACAGGAAAACCAAGTGCACCTGAAGGGAAATTGTTGTGTGTATCCAGGATTCCTGATACAACTGGGCGAAGTCAGGCAACAGCTACCATAGATGCTGTAAAGACATGGAAACTGGAAAAAACACTTGTGGCAATGATTTTTGACACAACTCCATCAAATTCAGGTTGGATAAATGGTTCTGCAAAGTTAATTGAAGAACACTTTAACAAAAAGTTACTTTGGTGCGCCTGCCGACACCATATTTTTGAAAGAGTTTTGTCATCTGTTTACTTCAAAGTTTTTGGAGAATGCAGATCTCCAAATTATGAGCCATTTAGACACTTTAAAAATGAGGTATGGCCTAAGCTTTCATTAACTTCAGATACTACTTTTAGAAAAATAAAGATCGAAGAACCAGTATTAAAGACCAAAAAAGCAGAAGTAATAATTTTTTTGTCTGGTTTACTTAACCGGAAATCTCGAAAAATATTAAGAGATGATTATCGAGAATGTTGTCAACTTGCTTTGCAATTACTCAATCCAAAACAAATAAATATACAGTGGCACAAACCTGGAGCCTTCCATCATGCTAGATGGATGTGTACAATCTTGTACACATCAAAGATGTTTGCTTTTGCTGACCTGGCAGAGTATGAAGAAAGTTTTATAGAGAAATTGTCAAGGTTTTGTAAATTTACTTTACTATTTTATGTGAAAATATGGCTTACGTGCACAAGCACAGTCGATGCTCCATTTAATGACCTGGAATTCTACAAAGAAATGCTTATTTATAAAAAAATTGACAATGATGTTGCTGTTGCTGCCCTGGAAACATTTAATCGGCATCTTTGGTATTTAACTGAAGAAATGTCCCCTCTTTCATTATTTTCTGATAAGGTATCTGATCGAGATAAAACTAAAATGGCTAAAATAATTCTGAAAAATATAAAAGAAAACTGTGAACATGATATAGGCTTTCCACAATTTCCTCTTCTGAAGCAGAGTACTTGTTTGACTGATTTAATTGGACCAAAATCAAGTAACATTCTAAATTTATTCGGATATTCAAATGAGGATGGCGGTTGGTTGGTAGAATCCCCAAAGTTTTGGAAAACTAACACAAATTTTAATCACATGTTTGAGCATATCAAATCACTGAAATCTGTAAACGATACAGCAGAACGAGCTGTAAAACTAATTCAAGACTATGCAACATCTATTACAAAAGATGATGAGCAGAAAGAATTTCTTTTACGTGCAGTAGAACACCACCGAAAAGTTCTTCCTCACATAAATAAACAAGCAATTCAAAAACTTAATTTTTGAAAATATGCTTTAAAAAATCTCTTTTTTATTATACCTTTAAAATATTGTTATTTTGTTGTTATAATTTAAAAAAAATGAGATTTTGAACTTCTTAGTACTTATTCCCATTGTGCTTTAATATTGTTAACTTATACCAATCATTTCTATCCTTCTTTGTTTAATAATTGAGTATTTATCAAATTTTTTGTTTTAATTAAAAATTATAATTTATAAAATTCCTTATTTAGGCAGAAAAAAATCATACGACAAAGGTAATATTAGAAAGGATGGGGGGGGGGGAGGGTCATAAACCAGGTGAAAATTTATTTTTAATAAATTTTCATTTTTATTTATTACAAAACTATTTGAAATTATAATAACAGTTAATT